ACAAAGGGCCCAGGCTGTTTTTATCTAAATTCATACCTGCATCATGTTGTGATGAATGGAAAGTTGGGGGGGGGGGGTGAAAAAGTGACAGCCACAGGTGCAGCTGTGGATGTGTGGGTGAACATCAAATGAGGAAGAACAGTGGTACCGCATGCAGCGCCATGGAGGATCTGGTTTGATAACTTCCTCTTCGGGCCGGATTAGAGGGTTCATCCGTCCCATGATGGGACTCCGGTTCAACCTGAGCTCCATTGCCATGTCAACGAGGGAATATACGATCACAAATAGTAGTTTAGTGAGGACAAGGAATACATTCCATGGTAACCAAATGGGATTTGTAATGTATCAGAGACACAAGGGATGTATGGAACCCGATAAGGCAGCTTCTATTTGTCAAGCTTTAGTGGTTGATCTCCAATGAACCATGAATATTGTTTGTAAATCCTGAGCCGTTGTAGCGGATAAATGTCAATAAAGTTCACTGCTTAGGTGGAAAGTTTGACCTGCTGGTTGCACTACATAGAAAGTGAGGGAAATGTCAATAGGACCGGAACTCAGGGGACCTTTTCAAAGATCTGCAACGTATTCCATGGCTGTTAAGGGGAACTCAATCCTAAAATGTTTTCACTAAGTCTACATTCAGCGGGTGAGTATCTCACAGCGTGAGGCGACGCAGCCTGGAGGCCGATCCCGAGACTCGGGTGGGGTTTAAATCGCTTCGACTCCTTTCCGAGGAAGCGTAGTATCAGAGGAAGTATCAGAGGAAATGTTCAGATTGTCTTTTCTCCCGTTGAACCACAGAACGATGATGAAGAAAGGGCTCATAAACAGGAGGGGGATCTCCTGTTCCTGCATCAGTGTGAGGAAAACACGCCAATGTTAAAAACCGAACATTTATCCAAAAGGCAGCTCGTTACTCTGTGGGTGGCAGCGCTAACGTGACGAGAGACAGCGAGGTGATTGTTCAGAACACCCAACAAGATTTGTTCTTAACCGAGTGAAATCACTGCTGTGGAAATATATGGAACTTAAAGCAATTTGCGGCTCTTCGATTGGTTTTGTGTGTGTCGTTTGTTGTGGTGAGTGAGACTACTGAATGGATATGGCGTGTGGGTGTGTGCTGCCTTCAATCTGAAGGTCACAATTTGACAAACATAGTTCCCTCCATTCACCGGTTTGCGTTCTCCTTCTCTCCCGGCATGAAGGGAGTTAGAGATGCAATTCTGTATCTACCGCAATCAAAACAATGTACAGGACATGATTGCTTATTTAACCAATCATTTATGGATAGCTGCCTTCAAAAGCTACTTCCTATTCACACCATGTAACACCCCCACGGTCAGAAACCACGGCAACCACAGGCGTGCCTGAAAGAGTTGTGATTTCTGTTTTCCTAATTTCTGTTTAGTCGATTCGCAGCTGTGTCAGGGTCGTGACCTAGAAGGAATTTATTGACGCTTTACAAGAGAGACACCAGCGGCTGTTTAGGAATGTCAGAGTGATTATTGCACCGGATTAACAACGAATCGCCACATAACCTTTAACGGAGTGTATTCTGTATAATGCACAGAGCGACGTGTTAGCTTCAATCACCACAGGACTTAACCATGGGCTCGATTAGGTGCTGGAGGACGGCTGCAGACGGAGCGATCCATTATTCAGAGCAGAACCTCTCGTGTATCGACCGCCATTTGCTGGATTACCTCTCACTTGTTTGTATTCGGACTGAAGAGGGGGAGGGGGTGAATGCAAATTGCTACATGTGGGGACAGAATGCATGAAGCTCCCTCTGAGGGTTTAGGGAAGTGGTTGGTGCTGCTACCTCCATCATATTCAGAGCATTTGTAGTTTTTTTTTATTGGGAGGATCTGCAGGTCAGAGGTCACAGGTCTGGCCTGCTGTTAAAGTCGGAAGGAAGTGGCACGCAATCAGTGAAATGGTCGAGAATACGGGGGCAAAGGATGAGGAAAGGAAAGGGCAGGAGACGGGGGTCCCTGGGGACCTTCTTAACCACTTCTTAACCCCGCCTGAAGTGAGATCATTTCTTGTTTTGTGGCCTCCACGCGGGATTTGATTTCATCCACCCTTCAGTTATCAGCTTTCTGGACTCTTTCCATTACTTTTCTGATTGGGAAGCAAAAATGATAATGAATAAGACCTCATGGCATCGCCAGCACACTCTGGATGATTTATCATCGCACATGTTTTGAGCAAAAAGGTCTTTTAGCGTAGAAACGATCAAATGTACTTACCGCCACTCTCCCGTGAGTAAAGGAAGTAGATTACACCTCTTCAGCCGCGTATTGCATCCATATTTACATAATCGTTTCCTATTTAGAGAACAGAACTATTGGCACATGGGCAACAGGAAAGAAAGGGAATGAGAATTCTTCCCGGGGGAACGCCGTCTACCTCCAAGGCTTCCATGTAACCACTGCAACCATGGCGATTAAGGTCCCCTAACGAAGTGGGCGCTTTAACCCTTATAAAGCACTTAACCGTAACCCGACAGACAAAAGATGTCGGAGAAGGACCTCTCTGTGTCGCCCTGAAGGGACAAAGAACGTAGAGTGTCGTTTGATTGGAACGAAAGGTATTAAACACACTCTTCAATGGACAACTTGAATATGGTTAATTACTCTTAAACGGACGACTTTGTGATGACCCAGCAGTAAATGTTCTTTTCCTCTTCCTCATAATGCTGCTATAATGATGAATAGCAGCGATTGAGGTCGATTCATCGGTCCATCGGTGTAATTTACAAGTTTAACTGTATCAAAGAATGCTAATTAGCTAACAAAACATTAATAATCCAAGTGTAATCTAAATTTAGAACACACGCAGGAATTCCTTCCTTGACGTTGAGCTCAGAGTCAAAAATGTAAAAATGGGCAGTGCGATGCTGCTGTAGGATTGGAGCTGATGGTAAAATGCCGGTTAATCCAGCTAATCACACACAGTGTTTTAATCCAAAGTGTAAATCCTGGAATCAAATGGAAGCGAATGTCTTCAATGACGCACACCGCAGCATCGAGAGCAACGCAGCAGGGCGAGGATTACAGCTGAATGGTCATTTTACAAACTCAAAGTACAACTAAATGTAAGTGGCCGTAGGATGTCAACGATTCAAATCCTTCCATTGGTGTGGTTGCCTGCGTTTGAGTGTTTTTGGGGGGATTTTAGTTGGTTTGCATGTGTCCTTAAAGCCTGACAATGATTTACAACCCTCTCATTAGAGCAAAAGTGTATTTATACAAGGCGTTTCACTCCGCGTAATGTGCCGCACCACTGCGAGGCCGAGGCACTCAATGGAAGGAACAATCACATTCTAATCAAACTCACAACCACATCTTTGTTGTTGGTTTCACCGGGTTGCAAAGTGCCAATTTATTTAGTTCGCACAGCAGTCTTTGAATTGTGTTCAATGCAACAAATCTGAAATGATGAATACGACAGGAAGAACTTAAGAGCCTTTGCAAAAGCAACACGGAGACCGATTTGGACTTGGAACGCAGTGGCGTCAAGTGTTGGCGGTGACTGGTTTGCTGACTGATGGCAAATCAAGGCCTCGGAGCAGTCCGATCTGAAGCGGTTCCACATTCACACGGTGGTTTTTCCTGAATATGTTCTCTGCCTAATTAGTGGGACAGAAGCTTCCGACTGTTTGAAGGCTTCAGTCGGCACAGAGATTCCTCGGAGACCGAAGGACGGACGGAGTGAGTCCTTTGACACACCGCCGAGGTCCTCCCCTTGGACTCTACTTCATAAAAGGGACAGTGGGAATGTATAAAAAAGTCACACGGACTTTTTGCGCTGCCATTTGAAGCTTTCTAAAGGTTCCGTTCAAAATAATTGGTATTATCTTCTGTAATTCAATGCGTAGAATATTCAATTCGGGGGAATGATTTTGCTAATCCACTTGGCTGCAAAGTGGGTCCAACAAAGTCATTAGCTCTCGCCAATTCTTTTAGAAAATACAGAGTGAAACGCACCACTGTGGGGACTGAGAGTTACGGTTAATTTGATCATTTTATTATTGTTTGCTCTGCAAAATTTCAGTCTTCAAAAAAGCTGCAATAAAAACGGATCCGCTGTCACACAATTGTTATAGATTTTGGTTATTGATCAATTATTTAAGGCATTTATGAATCTCAAATTAGCGGGCAAAGGTTAGCAAGCTAACCAGCCAGCGGCTAAGTGACCAGTGCAGCTGGAGACGATCTCATGAGAGCGCCTTAACATTCTGATGTGTGTCTCAGAATCGTTGAGAAGAGTTTTCATGTTTTACATAGTTATATAAATCTAATTATGGCTCTAAAACATGTTTTAGGTACACAGTTCCTTTCATTACTGGGTAATAGTGAAGTATTTATTTGATTGGAAAATAAAAAAATCAAATTTAGACACTTTATTGATCCCTCAAGAGGAAAATTTTGGTATCACAGCATGTACAGGGAACAAAATAGAATAAAAATATACACATTATATACAATATAATAAGATAGAAATATTAAATTATTAAATAAAATAAAATAAACTGAAACAAAAGAATAACCTTCCGAAAGAGACAATTATAATAATTTGTAAAAGGAGAAGAGGAATCACTAACTATATATATATCGGTCCACCTAACAATATATACATCTATATTTGGGGGGGGGGGGGGGCATGAATAAGGAAAGCAGGTTGAGCGGGGGGCTGTGAGGGGGGGTCGTGCTTTGCTGTGGTGGTCCTGCAGAGAGCGGTAGATAGTTTGAATACTGTACGCGGAGGGAGGAGCGACCGTGAACTATTTTCTTTTCTTTTTTTTTGTGTTCGTGGGAGTGAGCGTGTGTGTGTGTGTGTGTGTGTGTGTGTGTTTGCTTCCTTCTCCCTATTGTCGCTGCCGCTTCGGGGCCAACGCAACTTAGAAGGCAAAACACAATCAAGAGGGGAACAAACTGCTCCGATTTCCGCCACAAAAACACCACCACCAAAATCTAATACTATCTTCAAAAGTGAGGGAGGCGCAGCAGGAGGAGGACAGCTCGCGGCGCAGCAGCTTTTTACCGGAGCGGACCCGGGCTTTCGGAGCGAGAATTCGGGGGGCGGCGGGACGTGGAGCCCCGACACACGCGGCCGCACTTGAGCAGAAAGCCCCGGCGGAGCGCCGCCGACTTCCCCCCGTTTCACTTCAGCAGCCGCGCGCTTTGAGCACAAGAAGGAGAGAAACATCCAACCCGACCCGGCATCCAGCCACGGTGAGTGTCACGGCCGCCACGGCGTGGTGGTCCACGCGCGCGTGCGAGCGTGCGGTTGTTGTGGTGGGCGCTCGCGCCCCCCGTAGCCTCGGCAGCCTCGGGCGGGTTTCGACAGCTCGGATCGCGCCGCCGAGCCAACGTCGCACCCGGTGCGGAGGCAGGCGGGAGGGTCCGACCGTGTTGGTACGCGGCCCTTCCGCCGTAACTGTTGACACGTGCCCCCCCCCCCCCGGGTCGGTTGTCATTGGAAAGCGGAAACCTGCACAGCGGTCACGCTGCCTCCTTTTACAGATGATTTGTTGTGTTTGTTACGCGCGTGTGTGTGTGAGAGCTTCGAACTTGCATCCGTGGCTACACGCCGGGGAGCGCGCATACGTGCACACCCACAGAGGGCGATGGCACGGGATCGATACAAGATGACCAGCGATGATATGCCCGTAACCTGTTGGGGGGGGGCAGGATGTTCGGTTCAGTTCAGCCACTTGACCTGATTCCTGCTGCGAACATTTTCTGCGTGGGAGTGGACGCGCATGCGTTCTTAATGTGAACGATGGTACCAAATGATGTTTGTTTATGATCGCGTTGATCAAGGTGAAGTCATCCGCCAATCTTAATCTCAGTCAGTCATGGGGATAGTTTACTGGGTCACACACCGGCATCTAAACTCAATTCATTTTTTGTTGTGTTTTTTTCTCTTTCTTTGCCTCGTGGTTGCGTGCACGACAAACGACCCACCCGTCTCCGATAATCATCGTCCGGGCCTTTCAATGGACTCCCGTCACAAATGATCAATATCAGGACGAAGTGTTCGAGAGAGGCACAATGTGCACTGCATTATAACTGTCTGGATCGGGTATTGAATTACCACAGACACTCTGACTCCGCTGTACAAGTCTGTGTGTGTGTGTGTGTGTGTGTGTGTGTGTGTGTGTTTTAGATAAACATGCCCCCCGAATACACTACTTTAGGGTGTGCTTTCTGCCACTAAGACAACATTGCCCAGGAAGGGGTCTTGCACTGATTACGAAATGCCTAATGTTTACAAAGAAACTCCGTGCTGCTGATGATGAAGGGCTTTTCCTCCGTCGCGTCCGCTCCCACGTTGGGGGTCTCGCGGCCCGCTGATGGCGAGCAACAGCCGGATTCTCTGGCGGTGTGACTCCGTCTCGGGGAGTGTGGATACCTTCAACGTGGTGACCGGGGGGGACTGTAAACGGCTCCCGCCTGTTGGACGTCTAAATTGTTTCATACTGGAGAGGTCTCTTTGCAAACTCGTACGTTTTACAGAAAGGAAACCAGAAACAGATGATGCTGCCTCCCCCCTCCTCCCCCTAATGAAGTCCCAGGTTTCCTTCTCAAACCAGACGAGAAGAAAGCTTAATTAATGTTGGATCAGCTGGTCCGGCCTGCAGGTGGACCATCGTTCATTAATCATTAGCCCTTCGTTGGAGTCGCAGTGGTCTCTCCCCGAGTTGATTATTAGCCACACGGACGAAGGGAGGTTAACCATTTAGCTCCGCGGACGGGACTGTGAAGGGAACGAGTGTGGGCTGTGGAGAGGGCAGCAAGCAAGCTCCGCATCAGAGGAACATCCAGGTGATGTTTTCTTATTTTTATCCCTCCCCACCCGCATTCTGCATGTTCTTTACAGTAAGTACTTGAGAGGAAAGCAAGTAGCACATGGCGAGTGATGTAACAGGTTTGCACATGCAGGGTGGACGGGGGTCGCCTCCATGTAGCCTGGTCCTCCCCTTATCTCCCCCTCTAACTGTTTGCTGGGTCCCTCTTTTCTTTTTTTGTGGGGGCAGAAGTGACCTCCCTCAGTCTCTCCCGGCAGCGAGGACCCCATCGGGCCTCTCTCTTTGTGACCCGGCCTTTCTTCCCGTCCTCCTCTCCCTCCCTCCCTGTTCCCCATGGCGGGGCAGCAGCGCTTTAAGCTCAGAGCGTTTGCTTATGTAACTCGGGCTGTGCAGCTGATGTCCTGGCCCGTATCTGCTGTATAATGATGTCAGAGCTGTCTGGAGGGACAGAGGGCATGCTGGGTAGGCCTATATGTCAAGAGCTATTCTGAACCGAGTCTGGTGAGTGGGGTGATCGGGGGGATTTGCCTCTCCAGCATCCTCCTCCTTTCCCTCTTTTTCCCCTCTCTCTCGGGATGCGTTTATCAGCCAAGTGGAGATGCAGTCAATTAGATCTGTGTTTTGTGTGTGTGTGTGTGTGTGAGAGAGACGCGTGTGACCCGATGCGTCTCGGACACCGGGAATGTCTTTGACTCGGCAGTTGTTGTCCTGAGGGAGCGGCTTCATCTTTGCCCAGATGCATATTGCATATTGCTCAGATAACAACAAATAGACATCAGATCAGCGTCGGCGATGCTGCAGATGACCGCGTGAGTTTTTTGTCACCAATAATGTTTTTTTCTTGAGCAGCAATGTTTAAATAACAGAATATTGCAGATTATATTATCTCCATGTCAAAAACTAAACGTGCTAAATAATCACTTTTTTACAGAACTCAATTCACTGACGGACATATTGGTCGTTAATTGCTATTTTTATCATGGATCATGTATTCCTAAGCTCATCTATTTTGTTTCCGCTTTCAAATATTTACCCTCATTTAGATCTGCTTTACTCTATTTTACTGTTTTCTCTGCTGAGTCGACACATCTCAGTCTCATTTACTCTTCCCTCTTTTGGGTCTTTTGTTAATTAATATACAGACCCCTGGACAAACAGCTCTGAACCCCTTTATATCATATTTAAAGAAGAAAGAGGAGAAGTACGGCAACACCACTTGGATGAAGTCCAGATCTGCAATCCACTATAATCCCACAACTATTAGTAGCAATAACAATTAGTCGCGTTTATTTTTGGCTACACTCACAACTGGCTTTTCACCAGCAAGAGCACATGGCACGGAGATCTGGGAGGTTGATTTTTTCCCGAGGTGAAGCGGAGAACATCTCTCTCTCTCTCTCTCTCTCTCTCCGCGCCTTAATTCATTCAGTGGAATAGAAATGAAGTCATTACGCCTTTGCAGATGTATTAAACAACTGGTTCCCAGGACAATAAAGTGGCTCCTTTCCCCCCCCTCTCCACGAGGCGTACGGCGGGATTCCCTTCATGTGGATTTGAACAGTTGCGGCATGTGGGGCCCTGGGGCAGAAGACAGTCAGAGTCCCCATGAGGAATCAATACGTGTGATTATGAGTTACTCCGCGTGTGGACATCAGCAGTGAGAGAATTTAAAATAAAAGAAATAGAAAACTATTTTTGGTTTTGGTAGATTTTATTGTATTTTATCCCGTACGTGGCCATCACATGTCGTTAGCACTGTGCTTTGCAGAGCCGAACATCTTTAACTTTTTATTTTTTAATCAAAACTTTAAAAAATCCTTCAATAATACAATTTTTAAAGAAATGAAACCGAGGAAAGCAGAAGATACAAGCGTGAACAAGAGTGAAACAGGGTGTTTGAGCGGTTTCTTTGAAAAGGGATTTATAATGAACAGACTCTGAAATACACTTTGCAGTAACATAAATTACGGTACTTTGTGTACGCACAGAACACAAATCGCCCCCCTCCTAACGGTAAAGGTATTAATACAATACTGTTAAAACACATCTGATCAGCAGCAAAACAATAAATCTTATATTCCACTTCTCCTCTGACACGCTATCTGCCGAAGTAATGAATGGCTGAGCAAAGAGACGCTTATAAAGCCGCACAATTATTAAATTGGCCGGCACCCAAGTGTAGCTATTCATGGTCAGAGTTCATGACTGTGAGGAGAAAGAAAATCCATGAGTAGAGAATACGTAGAACTACTTTAATATCCAGTCATGGGAAGTTCGAACGAGAGTTTTATCACGCCGCCTTTTGTTATCTGTCACTCTTCAGGAAGTTTGGAGGAACCTCTTTCATCTTCTGTTCGGTCGGGAAGTTTCCACTTCTTGATTGTTGTGGTTTTCCTTTCAATAGCTAGACGTTTGGAGGACGTTTCCCTCTGAGACATGTTGGTTTTCATTCCTTATTTTACAACAGCAACGCCGTCATTAATTTGTTTGAATTAATTTCAAGCATAACATAATTAAACGATTATTGACATGCGCTGGAGTTCAACTGTATAATGATGATAATAGCTGTTTCAACTGATTATCTGCTAATAATTAACCCGTAAAAAAGGCATTTCCTGCATACTTTTCTCTTATAAACAATTTTGTCTCTAGTAGCCGATTATAAACACCTTTATTTTATATGAAAAAGTCTCCTCCACCAAGGGGTCCGTTTCTCCAGACGCATACGGATACGTCCTAATAAATCAGTACCTGGTATTTCTGTTGTCATCACTATAATTACACATTGAATAAAGACCCTACTTTGGCCTTATTAAGGTCTCAATATGTTGAGTTATAGCGGGACATTGTCTCCCGACCCGTTGATTTACTGCGAGCTGCTTCCCCCGGCGGGAGGACCGGCTGGATTCGGGTCACATATCTGCTTTTCTTCAGTGGTCGAGTCCCAGCTCTGTCCAACCAGTGTGTGTGTGTGTGTGTGTGTGTGTGTGTGTGTGTGTGTGTGTGAGAGATAACCCCCTGGCAGAGGAGTGAGACCCTTGTCTAGGTTATGACTGTCCGTGAGGTTAAAGATGGCCCCCGAGTTCAGCTGGGCTTCTCGGAGGTGCGACTGGAGGAAACGTCACATCCCAGAGCTTCGTCGCGCCGGACTCTCGTCTTTCCTTCCTCACATTATGTTGTTTGCTTTTCTTTTGAGAGAAAGATATTGTCGGGGGTGGGGGGGGGTGGGGGGGGAGGGCCGTATGTGCGGTTGGTTCACACTCCTTCCCTTCTCGCATGTGAGTGGAGGAAAGTGAGCCGTTGTGGTATCGGCCGAGGGGCATGCTGGGAACAGGAAACCTTTTCAACAGCGCTACGCTCAGGGAGCGTGAGATGAATTTATTCATTAGTCGGCTTCATTTGTTTGTTACCCTACATTTCCTGCACACTTTCACGCAGGCGGTTTTCTCAGTTATCATGCAAACATCCTGCTGAATAACATGCATTCATACAGTTGAGCCGTTTACATGTGATTTTGAATGCTTGATTCCACATCAACACGTATGCGCTTGTCCATGTCGCTGTGCCCTTGTGCCTTGATGGACAGATGTGGCAGCAACACCCTCGCCGTCACCATTTCAGAGGCGCGTTTCACCGCCAAATGACGCTAAGGAGAAAAGTGACCTTTTATTTAATCCTAAGCAACTCCGCAGGCTTCATCTGCTGAGGCTTGCTGTTCATTCAACCTTTTAAAGCTGCTTCTTTCACAAAATACTAAATGTCTATTGAGAAGCCGCTTGTTCTTCAACCCAATGGTTATTCTTTATTTTCGGGCCCCACGTTATTCTCTCTTTAGAGGGACTTTTCAATGAGTTGATGTGAAAGGTCTGTACTGGTTTGTTGAAAGGGAAGATGTTGAGCTGCACCAAATGATGGAACACAATCGAACACAACTCAGAGCTCTTGGCTTCTGGCTTCGGCCCTTCACAGAAAATCAATAAAAAAGAAACAATTACATCCCCATCAAGACAGTCTTGACAGTCTGGATCGCTCTCGATCACACTGAAAGTAGTAATTTGGGAGCAATGTAAATAACCAATGACCACTGATACGTAGTCTCACATACACCACTGTTCCTACGCATAACCAAGATGATTAAGGATTTGCTCTGCAGTGCGTTTCATCTCTGCCTGCTGGTGTCCTTAACAAGGAGCTGCGCAACAGGACGCTTGTCTTTGCAAAAGTATCAAGAAACCTGCTGATCAACCGCAGCCGCTCAACAAACTCCGGCTAACTAATTCAGCAGCCTTGATTCTTTCAGGCAACTCGTGTGTGTGTGTGTGTGTGTGTGTGTGTGTGTGTGTGAGAGAGACAGAAAGCGGTCGCCGTGTGATTAGCGTGCGGCAGCTTCGGTGTGCCAACGCACACATTGAGGGAAGTGGCGTGCAACCTTGCACATACGCCAACGACACAGCCGATGTGCCTGTTTACTCGCCGCTGATTACACGCAGGTGGAGATATTATCAATCAGACAACCCCCCCTCCCCCCCACCTCCTGGTGGGTGGTGTTCCTCTGTGTTTGCTCAGCAGCTTACGGAGGGATATACTGGAAGGCACTCGGGGTCATTTCTTCTTGTGTTTGTACGGCTCTGGAGGATTCACTACAGCTGCTGGAGCTGCCGTGGAACCGCAATAGCTTCCATGTGGCGTCAAAAGCATATCTGTTTGTTTATGCTGTTGCGGTGAGAAAATGCTTAGTGAAGATATCCCCCCCCTCCCCCTCGGAGCGCCGCTAGTGTTCTCTGGGTCGCGTCCTCGGGTGGACGGACACCAGCCGGTCTCCCAACTCTCTCACATCTGTAGTCGTCCCCTCTCTGCCAAGGCAGCGCTCCCTCTCTGTTTGTGTTGGTGTGCCAGAGGGAGGGAGGAATAAACACATGGAATTAGATTGAGGAACTTGGCACAAAGGAAGAGATTCATGGCTTGTGTGTTTGACTGTGACTTATTGTGTATGCTAAAGTTTACAGACCGCTGTTTTCCTTTTGTTCGTCCCGTAAGTGTGTTTTAAGTAGGCGTGTGTCGGCAGACGCCGGGGGATTAGCTGACCCCAAGTGACCCCTTGCCTCCGCCACCCTCAGGTTCTCTGTGGCCGTGCGCGGCTCACCCCACTGAATGGATTCACGAGTATCATTTTCCTAAAGCAAACGTTGACATTTGCCAGTGATTTCCGACCTTCTTAACATCCGCCTGGTTCCTTTGATTCATATTTTAGTGTGATATTAAAGGGTCTGTTCACACATGGTACAAAGAAAACATCTTTCTCACTCACTTAAGTGCTTTGCAGCCATGCAGTCTTAATCATATTCTTTTAGTCATAGGATGAGATTTCTCTCCGCAGTAACACTTTCCTATTAATAGTCGTCAGCGTGGAAATCTTCATATTGCCTCCATGTGCACGAGGGTTCCCCAGTGAAAAATGCAGTGTCAAATCTCACTGAGCCGTGTTTACTTACTGCCGATCCTTCACATTAAAAGGGTTCAACTGGCGGAATACAAAGGCTTTTATTGTGAAGCAGTCTGGGAGGCTCATTCTGTTACTGAACGTTTGAAACGATGAGTATTATTTTCTTTTCAAGATTCCTTATCATTCTTAAATGAAGTTGCTTTGGTTTTTTCCTACACATGATACTCTATCCCAGTCCCCCCCCCCCCCCCCCTTTGCTTAAATGGACAGAGGAAGTGTCCATTTAGAACTCACTCTTAGACGTTAAAGCAACCTTGCACAGTGGAGATTGAGTTCAGTGATAGAGATATGAATGTTGCCGTAAACACACATGCTGCCATAGAAAGCGGGGGATTACGTCTAATGGTAAAATGTTAATGTGCAGCAATACTACCAGGGGAAATGTCCCCTCATCCCCCTAAAGCCTCTCATTAAACGTAAGTCAACCCCCTCATCGTGGCCTAATGTGTCTCAATTTCAGGCCCTTCGGAAAAGTAATAAATATGTATTTAATGTCTAAGCATGTAACAGCTGTGAACCCGCTTTTATAATTAGAAAAGAGCACCAGTGTATTTCCAGCCTGTGAATAATTGATTATCGGAGCACAGGCCTCTCACTGTGCCGTTGAACACGTACAGTACACCGGCCTGTCTCCCAGTAACGCACACTGTACGTCGGGAGGGAGCGAGCGAGCAAGAGAGAGAGAGAGAGAGCTCCTTTACTGTAGATTTGAGGCAGGAAGGAAACTAGAGAGAAAGCCGGAGAGAGCGAGAGCAGAAAATGGGTCAAACATCTGAGCGCTAGCCGGTCCCTTTCCTCTTTTCGGTTACGGGTGTCAAGATGTGATCGAACTGCGCTTCTTCTTTCTCCGCCCCTTTCTTGCTTTCTCTTTCTCCCATGCATTGGTGGTGCTTTTTTGTTTAGTTTTTTTTTCTTCTCTCCCTCCTCACTTTTACCGGCCAAGAAAAAGTGCGGAGAGAGGGGAGAGTTGTTATGCTCAGCATGTCTGCAGAGGATGGGCTTTAATTTGGACACGGCCCAGCCGATCAATCTCCACATTGGCTCAGTTACAAGACTCTGTGTGTGTGTGTGTGTGTGTGTGTGTGTGTGCGTGTGTGCGAGTCTGCGTGTAACAGCTAAGCTTTTAAACTATGCAAACCTGCAGATTCCTCTGAAAGTAAAGCGCACACACAATTAATCTGGTGGGAAAACGACTCATTCTGTACACGGAGCCGTGAAGGAACAATGCACCGGATTAGACCTGGAATGAGCGTTAATGGGATGCATTGCTAAAAAAGCCAGTTTTGTACAGCGTAGTCTCAGTTTACTGCCTGGCCCCCCCTGCCCCCTCCTCAAAAAGTCCCTCATCTGATCTGACATGACTGATGTTTATGTGTCCCCGTATATACTAGGCTGATACACATAAACACACCGGCATGTGACAAGTGCTCCGATTCACACATAACATGCAAATGATTGGGGGCATTTGGGGGGTTCGGCTCCTCCTCTCCTCCTCGTCCAGCCTGCAGCCTCCTTCTCTGGCCAGAGCACCGAGCCCACTTCTGGTAGGACGTCCTGCTCGTGGGCACCAGGGCAACCCTGGGGAACAGAACGCAGCCAGCACTATGCAGCAGTCATGGGCTTAATAGTCCAAAACTCAACAATACAACAATAACAACATAGTAGTAATAGTCGCTGATTTTGAGTTAATAGTTTAGCAGTCGCTTACCAACAAGAAAGATCAGTACAAAGCCTCAATAAAACGCTTCGGTCTGGTTTTCAAATGGAAATTCTAATCGTTGTCGATAGGAAGCGTGTGACAAACAGACGGCTGGGGTCTAGTTTTGGGAGACGGTGTCATCTTACAAGAGAGATTCTTTCTTTTATTTTTTTGTGAAGATAAGGCGTCGCTGCCTGACAACAGGAAATGTTGGTCTGCATACCGATGAGTGAGACGTGCTCTGCCACTCTCACGGGGGGGTGGGGGGGATATGCTTCATTAAGTACAAATGCTTTGCATGAAAACATAGAAGGTAGGAGATGTTTGTTTGCGGGTGTTTACAGGAAACATGCCTCCTCTACCTTTCTTTCTCGTCATCGTCTCAATGAAATCTAGCAATGAGGATACAAACCTGCAACCTCAGCATAGACAATAACAGTAGGGAACAGAGTCAGCGCGGCGCTGACCGAGCGAAATCCGCATACCAATACCTCCAGGGATGAATCATTAAGACAATGCAGCTCATTTGTTTTGATACTTTTAATTTCTGTGTTGTTTTGGGATTGTTTTTCTTTGTACATGAATTGGTGAGCATCATTTGGGACGGAGCCAGACTGGCCTCCTCTGCCCGCCTCCCGTCCACGTGCTACGCTAGGCTAAAGGCGCCCTAACTCGAGCTGTGTCCCCACCACTGTCATGGCGATTGGTCCGTTACATGTCGTACGTTCTACACCTTAGAAACGTTGTGGTCAGGTTCAAAGAAGCCAACAGACTTCAACGAACCGGACGCGAGCTAATGTGCAGACATGTTACGTCTGTTCTCTCTACCGCCATATCTTGCGTATCCATCCGTCCTCCTTTTATTGCGCGGACGTCCTTGTCTCTGACTCTCAGCGGTCCATCTCATCCCAGCTCATCTTGTATTTTCTCAACTAATTACTGACATAATGGTGTTTACATATGTTATTATATTGAACCCCTGTCGGTGTCGCCGGCGGTGTCGCACAGATGGGGCAACATCTGTGCCAAGCCACTATTAAACGTGAGGGTGAGACAGCCTCAGAGTTATGATACATTTATAAAATGATTTTTACACCTTTTCATTGAGGCCTTTCCTTATTTTTATTTTTATTTATTTCATCTTAATTGTCATCCAAATACAAGAAAATGGAACCAAACTTGCCCTGAATCGAATAGTCTTCAAACACTTTCGGAACTCCGTCTGAATCTGATCCTAGAAGAGTGAAGAGGATAACGAGTCTCAAGGTTGGTGCTGATAACGAACTAGCGGTGTTGCTCCAAGAGAAATAAGGACGTCCTTATAGATCTGAGTTACAGAAGAGGCTACAATAAGTAGTAAAGGCTGCAGGTTTTATCTGCTGACGTTCAGTGAAGCACCAGAAGTTGTAGGTCAGAACGGTTAGACGCTCTGTTCCTGTTTCTCTCGATAACGCTGCCAACGACGCCTGAGCTCATTCAAGAAGAAGAATGATCTCATTATCTTCTGAGTGCAGGAGGGGCGTGGCCCAATACGCGCCGCCCGCCAAGTCAGGTGGAAAGGTGAGAGTAGTGTGGTGCTCCTTGGCTGAATGTCACCAGATAAAGATTCAACGGGGTAAAATCAATCCAGTGACCCACAGACGCATACCGTCATTATCGAATTATATAGTCAGTGCGTATGTGTCAATCAGAGCTGTTTTAAACTAACAGCATTCTGTTTCCATTCTCAACTCCCTGTGATTTTGTTCGTAGTACATAACATTAACCACCTAACTACATGCAGGGCCGATTGACGTTTATATGATTAATCTGACTGAAATGTTTTCTGCTGTATCTGTGAATGCATGTTTCTCTGTAATGCATCACTTTTGTATGCCGCTTACAAATACCCCAAAATGGGTCTGAAAGACGTCTTCATTGCAGCGCCAATCTCAGTGCTTTTCTGCCTTTTTTTTAACCCATGTTTCTGTTAGTGACGGCGTGTTCATCCAGCTGTGTGCAAATGGGTGTGAAAACCGACGTGCAGCGTTAATCAATGTGACTTTGATGTCACTTTGTGAGGTCCGATGCAAAGAGGCCGCATTTCTCCTCCCGTTCTGTTTTGAGGTTATTGAATGTGACGCCCAGTGTAATGCAGTTCAGTTCAATACTCAAACACCCTGTTATGTTATTTACTTAAGTTAAGTTAAGCTTTCTGCACTGGTGTATCAGGCTGTGATCTCAGCGGTCATCCAGTCCGAGGTCGCCACGGCTACGATGGTTCACACATTCCCCAGGGCGTCTCTCACCTCTGAACCGCACCGTTCGCTCCGGATGGGGCTGCAAAGTCCTGTTCCTGTCTGCTCCGTCTGATGACACTATGAGTGTGAATACAAGCGCTAATGAAAGCCGTCTGCTTAATGTCACTCGGAGCCTGTCTTCTAAGGAAAACACGGGGTGTGCCGCGTGGAGGCTGAAAAGTTGCCAAAAAAGATGAGTCATCCCCAAAAAACGGGAGGAGCAGAGCGCTCTCCCCTGCCGATGCATTCCTGAGCAGATACCAGGCAGCCAGCGGGATTCATATCACTATAAACGCCTGTTGATTCCTCCAGCCGGCCTGAGCCTTGAGTTGAGACTTGAGACGTTTCATTTGCCTAAAGGATTAGACCACTAAGCCCTTTAAGCTGGTCACATGAAAATCAAACTTTTTTTTTCTTCTGTTGAACTCCTGAGACTCCTCCCACGTCATCCTTGACTTGGCATCAGTGGCCCTCTGTGGCTACCTGCAGGATTTGGCTCTCTCTTCACTCTCGCTGGGACGGAGCGTCTCGTTTCCACAGGTTTAGATATCAGAACCCGTTATGTACCACGCATCCGAGCAACGTCTACACCCCGACAGCTCGACCCCCTCCAGACGCACCAGGGTCGCTCGTCATCGCGGCAGAACGTCGGTCTGTGGGAGACAAAGAACACTTCCGTTTTTTTTAATCCAATTTCATTGGCAGATTTACTTGAAGCTTGAGTGTGGAAAACGTGCGCAAACGACTTTGACTGCGCGCCATCAGCAGCAGCTATCTGATAATAATCTGTACGGGCTGGGCTCCATTCCTCCAAACGGATGGAGCCCACCCGCTCACACAGACAGGTGCACACATTGACAAACACAAACATGCACACACGCACACACACAACCTAACAGACAAATATGTGCAGACGTCCACATGCACGCGGACAAACGAAAACTCACACACCGTCTAAGTGCACATGAATTCGACTCCCCCGACCACCAGGAGTCTTGACGAGCGTTAATGCCGACCAGAGGAGAGACGCGGTGACATTTAAAATGACGGATGTCGCCGTGGTAACGCAGCTTCCCTTTCGAATAAGCGTTTCTTTCTCTGTAATCAATGAACAAACTTAATAAGCAGCCTTGCTGTCCGTGGGCGTCTAGTCAGAATTTTTTTCCCAATTTTTTTTCTTCTGGTACTCTGCAAAGAGGTTTCATTCAGAAAGACAATTACCCAGCATGCCTCTGAGTGACATTTCGGGGAACGGCGGAAACTGATGACTGCAAATACCGAGTTGACTCGGTCGTCTGCTGCTTCCTCGGCGCTCCATTTGCTGTACCTCGTCCGCTGGGCGCGTGCCGAGCGGGGGACTTTCCTGTTGCCCCGCTTTGTAGTCGCCGTGCCGCATAAACAAGGTGAAGAAGTGTGTCAGTCAGCGCTGCAGCGAGGGGGAGGGTGGTGTATTATGAACCCCTTGCGGTTTTGTGGACAGCTCTCTCTGAGCTGAGAGGAAGCGGGATTTTCTTTTCCACCCTTTGAAGATAATGTGTGCGTTTCGTCTGAGTGAGAGACAAGAGATGTTTGAGAGATGAGAGGAGAGCAGAGATGTTTCCAGGTAACGGCGGCACGTCTCTCGCATCCGCTCAATTTGAAGATCCTGTTTTTAATAGGATCTGAGTGCTGATTGAGTGCAAAAGTGAAAGTAACGTTATTAAGTTGAGCGCTTTTTCTGATTGGGAAGCGTACGGCTGTTTTTGTTAAGCTGTTTTTGCCTGACATAAAAAAATATAGATATTTTAAAAAACTGCAAAAAACATCAATGTCTTTGACATCAAAAACAAACCGTTTAAAAAATCATCTCCAAGTCATGTTCAAAGCACGACATTGTTTTGAAAAGTGCCGCAGTTCTGGGTACAGTTTGTATTTCTCCTCCACAGAGCTGACGTTCTTCTTCTGAACCATTCGTCTCACATTGAGTTCAGACTTGCGGATCGATTGCAGTCTTCTGCAACGTGACGGCGGAAACAGATAGATAGCAGAGTGTTTACACCAAGGCTCCACCGTGGGATCGTAATCGAAAGTGAAAGTGAATCACAGAGGTGTTAAACCCGCTCTTTAGCGTAAGCGGCTACATCCCTGCTGCCGTGCTCCGAACCTCTAGTTTGCGGTTGCGTGTTTCTGAGGTCAAAGGCCGATTGTGTAATGTTCATATTTCTAACAGCGGGGCATGCTGGGACATCTGATATAAGTAGTTACAAGATAAAGGAGAGCTGCCGGGAGGACGCATGTCTGCAGGCTCACAGGGAGTTCCTTCAAGCCGACCGGAATTATTCTCAAAAATATATCAGAACTTTTGAGATGGATGTGAAAATGATCAACAACTATTTTGCAAATAGGACATATTTTCAGAAGGCCTTTCTACTTTTTATTACATTGTAGTTTTGGACACTTGGATGTGAAGTCTAAAGATGTTTCCAGTGGTCATTAAAAGAAATAAGGTGCAGCTGTAATGTTTCCAGTTTTAGTAGCTCTTTAGTGGGAGTTCGCTAGACTAAACCGTGGAGTCGGACGGCCCACCGTCGGCCCGTCGACCGCCGATTAACGATGAACTGGCTCACGAAATGCACGACTAGTCAAAATAAAAAGAAGCGATGAGAACAAAGCGCCCCAATCAAGGCCGAAGGGACCCGCCGCTGTCTGCCCAGAGGCGCCGTCACGCTTCGTAGCTTTAACCGAAGGTCCCGGTGAGGACGTTTGAGTCGTGATCACCGCTCACTGAGGCAGTGAAGTGGGCGAGAGCCTTCAATCAAACCACTCTGGATTATTAAACATTCGGCCGCGGACGCAGAAGAATCACCAATATTAAAACCCAATTTGGGTTTGTGCTTTGACCCCCCCCCCCCCCCTCTTTAAAGGCATTCATCCGGTCACAGTCGGCTGGTGTCGGCCTCTGCGGAGCGTCGAGCCGCCCTGTGTACGTTTCTCCCAGCTGTGTTTACGTCTCGTAGGGGGATCGGCCCCTCATTTCCTCCCCGACGCTCCATCTTTTCCCAAGGTGGTGTCAGAGGAGAAGCAGGACAGGTGCAGCAGGGAGTGATGGAGCACTAGCTCCTGCATAGTACTCACCGGCATCAGGGCCTCGGCCCTCTGGGGTTACAGATGAAGGTTCCATGGAAGGCGCACACAGGCGGCTGCTGCTCTTCCAGTTCATTCAGGAACGGATAAGATGCGCTGTTCAGTAACGGTATATCTTTGGGGGGGGGAGTGGTGTATTTTGGTGGACATGCTGGCTCACGTTGTTCCACAGCGGGCATATATGAGCGTGTCTGTGGGAGGGGCCGGGGGTCCATCTCAGATCCAGAGGAATAAGGTTGCTCTTTGTGAGCAGTCGCAAAAGCTGGGAACCAGTGAGCATTCCCATATCAGGAGCTGTTTCTCAGACGGCCCAGAAATAGAAAAAAAAGCACCTGAAGAGTTTGAGAAAAAAGGCTGTAGGAAGACGGGAAGCCAGAAGCCCCAAGAGACCGTGTGGCCCGCATAACCCCATTTGGAGAAGGAGCTTTCCAGCTTCCTTTTGTTGTCGGGGCCACAAAATATTCCAGCTCTTCTTACTCCCTTTCTGCCACACAAACAAGAGTGGACTTTGGGAAGGCCGACAATTAGAAAAAACACAAAAAACAAAGGCCAAAGCGAGAGTTTGCAAAGTGCCCCCCTGGGGTCAGGAGCGTGGGCCCCGCGCCTCTTCTCCCCACGTGGACACTTTAGTGCCGTCTGGTTTGAGTTCATGTGGAGGGGGGGGCGCGGCCTCTCTCCTCCGGCTTTTTTGTTGTATGTAGACAGGAGGGGGCATGTTTAATGTATTCCAGCTGTTTGGTACAGGGGGGGGGGGGGGGGGTGCATCGACCGTATGTACTGTATTTGAACGCATTCCAGATCAGCTATTATTTTTCTGCAGCTTCTCATTAAAAGTCATGATTATTTAAGGTTGCAACTCGCCACGCGGGGACGTTTTTTCTTCCTGTGATTAAGATCATATGCGCCATGGAGGGTGATGGTTGACTGCCTGTGTGATGAATAATATCTGAGCGATGACTCACATTGCCGCGCATATTGGTCCCGAATGGCGGGAGGCGTCTCACTCGGCTCTGTTCTCTCCTTTTTAATGATTGCGGCTGCTTTTCCTCGCTGGCATTTGTGCCTTGATGTTCTTTTCTTTTGGTTGTTGTCGTTTGATCTTGCACCTCACTGCCAGCTGAGGCGTTGTCTCTCTATTACTAAATTGCCTGTGTGCCTTTTGGCAAAGCAATTTGTGTGTGTGTGTTACCTAAGTCTGTCAAAGTTACTTCAGCTGAAGTTAGTGCAAGCGCGGTTTGACACACTTTCCTCCACTCGTAATCTATTCTCCAATTGATCCCGTGTTTGAGGGGCTAACGCGCTAAGGCAGGTAATTGGATTAACCGTCTGCCAATCCAACTCTCTGAAAGGAACAGAATGAAAACGTCCAGTGTTGTTTTTTCTACAAAGGGAAAACGCTTCAGTTCCGATTGAAGTGACGCTATTCTAGAATTGACCCTTATTAAAGCCTCCATTGCAGCTTAAATCAACTAAAATGCTCCCGTAGCAACCGGTTGCTCCCCGCCGTTGGAAAATGACTGAAATTCCCCTTTTATGTTATTATATATTTATGTTATTTAGCATTTTTTTATGTTGCTCATTCCATTTAGATCCATTTGAATTGAAACGTGCTCTAACAGTGTCGAGAGAACGCATAGAACATGCAGACTCAGCTTGACTCAGCCGTTGATCGATCCATCGATCCACCTCCACCCGAGCTCATATCCATCCAACGTCCAAAGCGCTCAGCGCCGGTTCGAAGCCCGGATCCGTCTCTTGAGGCAGAAAAAGGTCGCTGCTTTGGACAAAAGGGTGTGCAATTGTTATTTTCCTGGAAATGAGCTGATAATCCCCTTTGCGAGCGTCAATTGTAGCAGTTTATTTTAATCCAATTGCCAAACAAAATGACGCCTTTGTACTTTTAGGCGTCACAAACTGATAACTTATGTTCATGCAACTAAACAGCTGAGGCAAAGTTAAAGTATTAGGTTACAGGAATTAAAACCAACCGTGTGTGTGTGTGTGTGTGTGTGTGTGTGGTTGTGCTTGTCTCTCTGTGCCCATGCATGCAGCAGCGGGAGGCGACTGCAGAGGCTTGTCCGGGGGGGTGCGGCGAGGAGAGGCCTGTGTTTTATGGAACATACTATACTGTAAGCTGCTGCAGCGGCGAAGGTGCTATAAATAGAAGCTGCTGATAAAGAAGAAGAAAATAGAAAGGAGGGCTCAGTGTGAAACGAACTCACTGAGCCGGTTCCTGTTTGAACACTCTGCGGGAGGGAGGGGGGGGGGGCCGGCAACGGGATCACTGTAACAGGTCCAGGCTGAGCTAAAACTCATTCCTCCCCTGGTGATTTTTAACGCTTGTGGTTTCTGGCAGCAGGCTTGTAGAAGCCGAGTCAAGTCACGGCATCCTTAAAGAAAACAACCTTGGATGTCATTAAAGGTTTACAGTCAGTGCTTTTAAAACTTCTGACTGTATGTAATGTGGCCTCATTATAGCTGCTAAAAGTCTAGTGGAAGCCGCACGGTGATATGTCTTTTTACTGGCGACGGCGCGAGAGAGAAATCAAAAGCGTCTGACTCAAATGAGCGGTTTTGACGGTGTATGATGGGTGGAGGCGGGGAGCGGGGTTTGCTCATCCTCAGATGAAGGTGGAACTGCAAGCACAGATGGGAGAAGCGACCAGCAGCCTCTGTCCTGTTGTTATTATTATTATTATTGTGTCTTTTAATACCTCCGGTGCTTATTATCCATTCCTTCCCTTTTGACCTTTCACAATAAAAGCCCCAGATGTATACGCTGTGGAACTGTCCATTGAGAAGCTCTCAAGGCAGAGAGGCAGATTTGACTCAGACATTTTATTGAGAAAAATGCACCTCGCTGCTGGTGTGAATGGTTAGTAGATAGTGTGAAGGCCTTATCAGCTGCATTAGGGTGCAGCACTGGATGCCCGTAATTCACTTTAAGGTCAGCCTCGGTGGCTGAGGCATTTGTCTTCTATACGCTTTCGAAAAACACACATAATCACAACACAATACAGAAGCAACGCGACAAATACATCACATCCAGCGTACATTAAATACACCGGCTCGGAGTGCTCGTTAAAGTGCACGTGTCAGTGTACACCACCGGTGAAGTGCCCAGAATGCGGCTTCTGGGTAAGTGCTGCAGTAGAGCCGTCTTTTTACGACCTTGTTTTCCCCGTCTTTTCTATGCGCGCTTTGTCCTCGCGCTCGACCTTGAACCCCCGGCCTGCCCTCCTCCCCTCGTTTCTATCTATTGGCGGGACGTGGTTGGCTCTCCTCCCAGGACTCCCTTCAGGAGTCACACGTGCATCCTCGCCTCCCCGCACACACTGCACCCCCAACGTTTGGAATACCCCCCCTCACCCCACCACCATTACCAGAATCCTGTTCTGCCTTAGCAACACCAGCGTCTCTACGCACACACACACACAATTCACATC